ACATGAATTAGATATTGTTATGCGCCATCTTTTATTTTGTCGAATGCTTTTTGACAGATAGATGCTTAAAAATTCACATTTAAAATATTTTTATTTTTTATTTGAAGAAGCCGTTTTAAACTCAAAAAATACTTTCAAATGACACATATACAATATATTTATTTTATTTTAAAGAGATAGACAATATTAAGTTAAATTTAGAAAAATTAATTAACTAGAATCGAAACTGATTGAATTCCATATATATATATATATATATATATATATATATATATATATATATATATATATATTGCATTTAGTTAGGTTGAAGGATAACAAGCTTAAAATTTTTTGACTAAAGTTGAGTTTATGATTCATGAAAAGTCATAAATATTCAACTTTACTTTATTCGATCAATTTCCTGAGTTATTTGCTTTTGTGTTTGTCATTGAATAATTGTATTACAAAAAGATATAATTTATTAATAATTAAATTTTAATTGATTTTTATTATGAGAGATAATAAATAAATAAATTTATACTTTTAAGATAATAAATAAATTTTTTTTTATTTTTTAATTTGGATTTTTTTAGGAAAACAGAATGGAAAGGGTTTCTCTTTTTTTTCCTAACACGTAATATTCAAGCGACTCTTTTGATGGTAGCTAACGGTGGTATAAATTGAAAAAGAGTATTAGCACTTCTTTTGCCACTATTAATGCTTGTTATAATTGAAGAACTTCTAATGCAAGGGATTCACACATATATCCACCATGTGGTTCAAATGAAGGGAGGGGATGAGAGGGCTTTTAATGGAGGAAAGGTGTGGAAAATTTTTTTAATGGAAGGGATAGATACCTTATTTGTTTTACAAGTAAAAGAAAGAATAGAGAAAATTAGGTTAAATAAATGAATATTTTATTATTTAATTAGTTTAAAAATTCTATTTCTCTTCTTTTTTCTTCTTCAAAGTATTAAAATAAACATTAACAAAATTATAAAGCTATGCTCTTTCTTCTTTAATTTTGTCTTCTTTCCTTTCCTCCAACCAAACAATATGTTAAAGAGAGATGTGTTATAAAAATCATGACGAAAAATAATGGAATGTTAATATTGTAAAAATATATTATCAAAAAGACTAAATTATGACAAACACATCAATGCCTCCTCCATCCTTGTCTGTGTCTGTGAGTCCATGCCGCTAATGATTATATATTATTGATTTCCCCGTCAACGTGATATATACAAATATATTTGAGTCAAATACCCAATAATCTCAAAATATGTATTTAAATATCTTTAAGAAAAACCAGTTTAAAAACGACAACTAGCTTGTATATCTTTGTCATGCATGCACGTCACCCCCACTATCAATTAGCCTGGTTTAATGTTATATCAGTTCTTATTTATTAATTCAGGAAAAATTAAATTAAATTAAATTAAGAATTTAATTATTTTATTAAAATTAAAATTATTTATTTATCTTTTATCAATATAATTTTACTTTTAAACTGATTGAATAAAAATACAACAAATAATATTATTTTAAATCTTTAGATAGATAAATAAATAAAGACCAATTTGTTACCTAATTTCGTGTTGATTCAATATTTGAATAAAATATATAAAATTAGACACTGGGCATAGTTAAATTAAAAGAATTAAACTAAAACAAAAGGATGGCTTATAATATATATATTTTTAGATATAATAATATGACCATGTATGCATTAAGTATAAATTTAAGTAAAAAAATATATATATATCTAACATTAATTCACAAAAATTGTCTCTAAAATTTTGTGTAATAATGTATGATATAAAACCAACTTGAAGTGTGACTCAAGATTAAGTAGAAAACATATCGATTATAGATTTTATGGGAAGATACTGAGACTGTTCCGTGGATCTACATCATACTTTGAGAGAGAGATTATTACACTGATACTTTAACTAAAATGGGAGCTTCGTATCAGAAATTCTGCGTGCTGCAGACACCCCCCTACAGAGCTCATCTTTTGCCTCTAGCTAGCTGCTGATCTTGCTGGTTCTTTCCTCAAATTACTCTTTCTTGCTATCCTTTGTTTTCCTTGATGTAACAAAACAATGAATATCTGGCTAAATTTTTAATTGTTACAATTGAAGCAAAATATTTCTACACATTTTGTTCTTAAGCACCTACAAATTGTATTAGGTTTTGGTGCAAGTAAAAAGCTATAAGAGCATTAAAAAGTAATTAAGAATTATTTTTTTGTCAATTTATTTTAAATGTTTTATGATTCTTATTATATGATACTTTATAAATTTTACGAAATATATTATATCTTTTATTTGTTTTAATAAATAGAGTTAATAAAAAATTAAGTTAAATTAAAAAGAATAAATATTAATAGTCAAGTGAAGTTTAAATGTTCAAAATGAAAGTAAAATTATTATATTTTTAAAAAATTAATTAACTTTAACTATTTTTATTAATTTATGTAACTTAATTAAATGTATTTTACAAGAAAGGACTAAATAGAGCATTACATAAAAAAACTTTCTTAAAATTAAAATATGTTTGAATAAATAGTTTGCTTATAACATTGCAAGAAAACTTCTGCGGTTGTTTGTTTAATTGGGCCTTCATAACCTTCCAAAAACCAAGATTTAATTGCAGTTATTGGAACTTATGTTAAGTGCTCACCGTTTAGTTTCAAAACCATATTAATATTAGGTTTTTTTTGTTTTTCTCACTTTGAAGAAGCAAACATTTAAATCTACTGGTTAGTGAAATGATAAATTATAACTTATTAAATTTAAATTAAATGAAAGACTTAAATTAAATGTAAGAATTTTTAAATATATACTAGTATTTTTTTAACAAAAAATAAAATAAGTTTAAAAATAAATACATAATTCGCTTTAATTAAATAAAATATTGAATACACCTTTTGACCTTACTTTTTGACTTTAATAGTATAGGAGAAATTATATTTGTACTTCAGCATATAGTACTTCCGATTCTTTTTATAAAAAACAAAATAAAGTATTATTTTATTCTAATTATAACAAACATATGATCAATTTGAAATATATTATATAATATATTACATTTTTGATTAATTAAATAATATATACTAAAGTTTTTAACGCATTAAATTTTAAAATTATAGATTTAATTTGATAAAATTTTATATTTATGTTGTTTTAAATTGTAATGTATTAAATATGATACTTCTTAAAATTTTCAGCATATTTAATTTTAAGAATTCTAATTTTAAGTTGTAAATATAATTTTATTAACTCTTATATTTATTTTTCTACAATTGTATGAGAATTGTTATATTTAGGATGATTTTTCATGTTTTTGAAACTAGAATATTCCCAAGAAAATAAATATTAAATGTTTGACAATCCACGTGACAACGAAAAAAATCAACTTACAAAAATATTATATGGAAACGCATTTTGTATATAAAAGTAGATATAAGTAAATTAACCATGCTTTAATAGAACTTGAACTTCACATCAACCCAATTTCATTGTCGAAGAGGGTTAACTAATAATTGTTAGTTTTAAACCTTCCTAGGTTTTTTTTAAAAAAAAAACAAGTATTTTAATTAATAATTTGTGTCACTAGCACTACGTTGGTATTACTTTTACAATCTTGTTCATATTTAAAGTATTTATTATGAGTTAAATATATTTTAATTATTATAAAATTTAATTTTTAGTCTAATTAAATTTTATTTATTTTAGTTTTTATAGTATTTTTCTCTTTTGTTAAGGACTAAAAATACATAATTTTTATATTTTGTAAGAACTAAAAGTAAATAAAATATAATTATAAACTCAAATTAAATTTTTTATAATTTTATAAGAACTAAAATTATATTAAACCTAAGTATCATTCTTTACAATTTAATAAAAAATTTAAATTTATCACAAGGTTGAAAATTAATTGAGATTTAGGAAGGATATATTAAATAAAATATAACAATTTATGTTTTAAAAAGAATAATCAAATAAAAATATAATTATATCTATTGAAATTTAAATTTAAGAGCCTATGTTTGGAACAATTCTTGAACATGTAAATCATTTTAAAATGAAAATTTTTATTTAATTTTAAAATGTTTTTATCATAAAGAGGTAATAATTTTTATAGTGATTATGTTTAATAATTTAAATTATTTTGTAAAATAAATCGTGAAAAATATTTGTGTGGGTTTTATTGAAAGTTAAAAAAATAAATTAATAATATAAAATTTATTAACAAAAATAATGATATTATTAAAAAAAGCACGGGCATAGGTTCTGCCACGAATTGAAAGCTGTAGAGGGGACCACAGCGAGGGAGAAAGAGGAGTACGAGGGTAGGGCAGTGAGTACGAGGGTACATCAGTTGTCATTATTGTGGCCTCGACTCAAGATGGCTACCTGTACGGAGACCAATCCACGAGGTTTGTGGGAAACCAGAAAGAGAAACCAAATAAATAAATAAATTCCACTTTCGGAAATTAAAGCTTTTACTTTTCCTAACCAAAAACGTAAAAAAATTCAAATAGAAAAAGAAACACAATTTTAATAGCTGCAGTACAAAAGCAGCAACTTGACCATAAAGGTACACACTCGCATCAATTCTATCAATTATCTGAATTGCCAAATAAACTTGTTTGGGACTCGCGTGTTATTCATTTCTATCACCCATTTCTGGAAGCCAAGGATTGGTTGTTTTCCCCTTATTGTAAGCTCCACTTTCACCTTTTTCGTCTTTCAAGTTTCAAGACCTTTACCGTCGAATTTTCCATTTTCTGGTAGGCAAGGATTCGTTGGTTTCAGATTCTTTGTGAAGGAGATTGCTATTTCAAGAAACTGTTTTCTTTCTTTCTTTTATATATATTATTTCTTTCTCTACTTACCACTTTCCATTTATAAGCATTTGAAAAAAGAAATTTCTTTCTTAATTTAGGCAAATTAATTTCTCTGTGAGTGGAGTGCAGTTTAAGGTACTAATTAAAAATATTTATTTCTATATCTACTCATTTAGTTATATATTTCTTTTTTTCCTCCAGAATGAGTCTTTCTTCCTGGAGCATCCTAGTTGTACATGATTGCATCTTGATCCATTGTTCTTCCTTGGACTTTGTTAAGAATAATTGTTCCTTTTCTATTTTATGTTAAATATGTTGGATTTACTTTATATATTATCTGGAGAAAGTCTTTCTTTCATTTTTTTCTTAGATGCAAGGGTTTGGGTATTTTTAATGTATAGGGAGATGACTAGGAAGAGGATACAGATCAAGAAAATCGACAATATCAGTTCCAGGCAGGTGACTTTCTCCAAGAGAAGGAAAGGGCTTTTCAAGAAAGCTCAGGAATTGTCTACTCTTTGTGATGCAGATATTGCCCTCATAGTCTTTTCTGCAACTAGCAAGCTCTTTGAGTATGCTAGTTCAAGGTATTCCACTATTCCTATCTTCCTTTACTTTTTGTATTTTCTTTGTGGAAGGAAATTTACTTTGGAACTAGAAAATGCAGGTGCCTTGGAGTATTCTTATTCAAATATATATGCTCCTATGTTTTTCCTCCTCCTTTTTATTGATAGAGAGAACAACAGGAAAGGTTGGTTAGTCGTATATATAAATAAACGACTTAAGAGGCTTATGGCTTATGAGCTCATTATCTATATATGTAAAACAATGATATCTTGACACCCAGAATGTAGTTGGGTAGAAGGGAGAGAGATAGGAAGAAAGTAAGAAATGTGATCAATAATAAGATAGAAAAAGTAGAGAAAGATAGATAGAAAGAATGATGAAAAATGAATGTAAGAGAGTGATGGGTGTGAAGATGTAAGTGGGGATATATTTATGCTAATATCTTCATTTATGTTTTCTTTTTAAATATTATAAAACTCTTTTAATTAGATTTTAACTTAGTATTAAACTTAACGTTAATTGAAAAAAATTAAACTCCATTCTATAGAAGAACTGCAATTACTCATTGCATTTAGTTTTGATTTCACAGAAGAGCAAAATGTATGTTTAGAAATTAACATTAATTCGATCAGCATGACCAAAGTCTTAAAGAGTAATCTTATGAGAGTAGTAATTTAAATATTTGAAGTCTTTGATTTCGTGATTATCTCTCCTTAACATGTAACAAGGACTAGTACCAAAGAAGGTAAAGTATAGGAGCAGTTCAAGACAACTGTATAGGGTCACCACTTCCGTCAAATCATGCATGATATTTCCAAATTGTATTGATCGCACTTTCTTGTGTTTTGCACAGAATGAAAATACTTAATCCTCTATTTGCCTATAAAAAAAATAATAGCGTAGTATTTCAATTCTCTGAGGCATTTAGTCTATCTTCACCTACAGGCAATGTATAATTGTGGCTTGATATAACCAGTGGGTAGAATGGCTTTTGGATTGAATGGGAATGGGGGAATTAAAGGAAAATCCATATTGCTAGAATTCTTTTGGTACATATAGCATCGACATAAGACGACTGCAATTCCCTTTTTATCACATTCCACTCCTTTCAACTGATTAGGATCCAGATTTTCATGATTTTATCACTTCAAGGAACAGATAAAATCATAATTTAAAATAAATTGAACATTTTATTCATATAAGAGAATGATATATCATCATATAATATATTTTTATTAGTCTTTTATTATATTTTATGAAAAATATTGTATTAAAAATATAAAAGTATTTAATATTTTCTTTATTTAATAAATAATAGAGTTAATGAGAAGATATCATAAGAATATTTAAAATTATTATTTTATAGTTCCTTTAGAAAATCAAATTCGATTGACTGGTTTTAATACAAGGATAACTGATAAGCAATACATGAAGTTCTCATTGATCACCAAAATGTTAGATATAAAATGATTTTTATAAAAAAAATTTTGATGTACAATACATGGGGTACTGCAACCCTATACATAACAGTTATTATATAACTAGTGACCAATTAAAACTGAATTGACAGAGGGATATAACCTGAGATAGACCAGACCAAATGAGACACACACTGATAAAAGACCTGACCCTGCGTGCAAAATCAGTTTTTTACAATAACATATGGGATATATGATGATAATATAAAGTTTAAATTTTATGAGCATCATTAATTCAAGGGAAAGTACTAGGGGAATTGAATAATTTAAATATATATAATGTGTTTGTTCGTTTCAGTATGCACCAAGTGATTGAAAGGCGCGATAGGCATTCAGCAAGTCATAGATTGGACCGTCCAGCTATAGATCAGCTGCAGGTTAGTAACATCAGCTTTATATTGTAGTTGCTTGAGTGATAAATTTATTAGCTATATGCCTTTTATATTTCGAATCATGTAATTCACATTTGATTGAAAAGGTAAATTCATTGCCAAACAAACCAGGGGGAGAATGGCTTTGCAGATTATTCACTGAAAAAAAATTGTCATTTACTAACAATTAGATATTAAATTTTCCTGTTTTGTATAACTTTATCTAATAGTAATTAAATATTTAGAATTTGTTTAGTAGGCAAAAAATAATAGGATAGAAAATTATAAAATATAAAACTTGAATAAGAACATGATCAAATAAAAGTAAGTTAAGTTCTTATTTTATTTTACATTTGATACATGTTAAAATAATAAATTAGATATATTACATTATTATATCTTATTTCACGGGACAAAAGTTATACTAAAATGAAAGATGTATAACAGACCTATAAAATAGAGTTGCCAAATCCTATTTAGTTAAACAAACACTGAAAATAAGATGAGATAGAAAAAATGTTATAGTATCATATTCTCTTAGTCTTGCCATCTTCACCAAATTATTCCTTAGTATACATAGATATTGCAGATTTATATGAATAACTAATTCTCTTAATGCAGAAAATTGGTATATACTGTATGGATATTACACCGTTAATTATATAATATATCATACTATTAGTGTATAGTCAGAATGTTTACATTGACAATTTCTTTCTTATAGTATATGATTTTTTTTAACGATTTTAGTTCTCTGGACTCCTTGCTAACTGATCGACGAGTTTCAACCATGAAACAGTTCATGCTATCTATTTAACATCATAATCTTTTGTGTTTGTAAATTTCTCGTCGCCACTTATGCATTAGTATATATGAACTGAAGCGTCTCTCATAGCGGCATTGACAATTAATGAAAGATATCCCAAGCATGTTTCTGTAGCATTTAACGGCTCTATAAACACCAGAATAAATGTGATATGATGTATAGGTAGGCACAGGGTGATATATTAGTTTGACTTGAGGTCAGACTGCGATGAATATCCTTGTGAATTTTCTAGTTGCGGCGTGAATAGTGTTATTCATCGGACTTGGGGGATACATTAGTTGAGAATTGACATAAATCATCTATCAAATTCACCTGACTGCAATTAATACAAGAAATAAAGTATATATTAACTGTCACATCAATTTCATAATGACAAAATAAGAAAGTAAAAAATTTAATCATTGTTTTGAAATTTATGCTCAGCTTGAGAGTGATTCCAACGACATGCTGCGCCAGAAAGTAGAAGATAAGAATCGTGAACTGAGGTATATATATATGTGTATAATATAACCTCTGCAGAGCTAGTACTAATATTGTTCAAATGGTGCATAACTGAGAGACATGGTTTTCCACTATTAACACAGGCAGATGAATGGGGAAGATCTGCAAGGATTGACATTACAAGAACTCCAGAAACTAGAGGAACTGCTTAAAAGAGGTTTGACAAATATTTCGAAAGTAAAGGTTTGTCCCCTATTATGCTTACTGTGTAATAGTTCATTTCTCAGGAGGGATTAAATCTACAACTAGAACTTCTGCTTGCAATGGTGCAACCTTCTCCTTATGATGGAGAAGGAAATAGACGTGCTTCTAACATATAGGATACTATATGTGTTGCAGGATGAAAAGATTATGCAAGAGATCAGCACCCTTAAGAGAAAGGTAAAAGCTAAACCAAATCTCTGATACAGTTCAAATCCAATATACTTGTCATTATTATAATATATATATTTATGGTTTTATTGAGTTTCGCTGTTTGATATCTGGGAACAATTGTTTCCATAGTTTTGAAATTTTGCTTTGCATATAAGTTCAGAAAAACTATAGGCTTTATATGAAATTCTGAATGACAAAACACCATAGCTAAATTAAAATATGAAACGAGCGGAAGTGTATGTTGAATACATCAGGATTAAGTGAGATTGGCTATTAGGAGATTAAGTTAAGTAAACTCCTTTGGACTAGGTTCTTGTGCTTAACTTCCTTTAACATTAGGTGGCTAGGTATCAATGAAACAAGTCAAAGATTCATACGGAGAAAAATGGAAATAGGGGCAAAACCTAGCGTTATGTATGTTTATCTTATCCATAAGATATGTATGTGTCTCCATAACAATTTCACAGCTGTTACAACAAACGGTAACTGTCAGTTGGCCGTTATGTCGGCCTATAACCCAACATATGTGGCTATATTAAATGCGCGAAAATAAAGTTGGAAGGCCACCTTTAGTAGATTTGTTTTGCATGAGAGTAGGAATTGAATAAGAAGGGAAATGAAGGGGTAGAGAAGTCTCTTAGTGAGTAAGTTTAGAAGGGGTAGAGAAATGAAGAAAAAGAAGAAAAATATCGTGGAGTCCATATTTTTTTACTCTACTCAATCTGGGAAGAAAATGATGAGAAGAGAAGATAGTTTTATTATAGTGACTGAAATACTCCATTTTATTTTGAGATGCTATACGTCCGGATAGAAAAATATATTTCATAATATTATATTTATTTTTTAATTTTCTATCAAGCCTAACAAATGGATAGAGAGAACTTTGTTTTTTTTTTTTTATCTTTGTTAACCAAGTGTATTTAGTAAAAAACATTACATACTTTTAACTACTTAAAAACTAAGTATAATATAAATTTTAATATTATAAATGTTTTTAATAAAAAACCTTACTTTTATTTCTTTAGTCAACGGTACTCTTAAAACATTCATTATTAACATTTACCTTTAAAGCATATTACCTTTAAAGTACACTCTGCATCATTTAGTTAGATCACACAAAATTTTACTTATTGCTATGAGATTGAATAATGTGAAAGCAAATTTCTAGATATGTGGTTGAGCATAACCCATAATTTTGTGCAAAATGGTAATTGTTAATTAATTATGATATATCACCAAAATTCTAATAGCTATTTAGGAATGTAAGAGAGAAATTAGATTGAATCTTGTAACAAGCCACTTATTGAAATTCTATTAGTCAAAAGTTAAAGTAATTTACCCCATTCTATTTAAAACAATTCAATCAGTTAAAAGTTTTGGCACTCTTCTACATATTTGACATTTAAGTAAATGGTTTCCTAGTTTTGAGTTGTATAAACACTTTCTCTCTTCTGAAAATTAAAATTGTTACATGATCAAGATGCTCTTACTATCCTTCTTAGATGATGTAGGAGTGGTACAGTTGCACAGATACCTTTTAATTTCGATAACAGTGGCCGATAAAACACAACTCCCTTAACATTTACACATTCCGGACCATTTCCATAGCAGCCCGTCGTCTTAGTGAGCTTTTACACTTTTTAAAGCAATTCAAATATCTCAAATGAAGGTTCATCTCTATTATATTACTGAAGGCGACGAGAGAATGAGGAAATTCTCATTAATTAATGATAAAGTAAAAATATATAATTTGATATGCTACATGTTGACGGGGAGTTTGAAGAGAAGAAACGAATTGACTGAGCCTATTAATGGCAAAGGTGATGTCAGTATGCGAGATGATGAGATACATCAAGTGTTCCTTTAGTCTGCAATACATTGAAGGGTCGTCAAGTGCTTCTCCATCAGTGTTGTTGAACTAGGGTTCTTAGACAACTTGACAGGTTTTAAATTAATGAATCTTATATCTTAAAGTAGCTACAAGCTATATTTGCATTGATACAAGTAACTTCCATCAGTAGATTTGGCTATTTCACTAGCCCAAAAAAATATTTGAGATCTCTAAATAATTTCAATTTGAAAATGCTTTGAAGCAGGATTTAGGTTGCTATAACAATGAAGAAAATTTGGAGAATCGCTATCTAGACGCCTGTCTAAGGCCATAGAGTGATTTATTTAATATTCAAGCCATGTTCACCCCTTAACATCATAACCCAAAGATAGTTGCATGTAAACTTCTCAAACGAGTCTGCATTTGAGAAAATATTACTAATGTCCAATTTTATGTCAAAAATAATAATTAAAAATAAAGTATTACATAAGTTACAAAGATAAAAAATTATGAGTAAATGTGTTAGTGAGTTAAAGTCCATAATTTTTCAGTTAAGGGCAATAGTTTTTTTAGTTTGTAATTACTTGACATTTATAAAATAATTATTCTTCATTATAAGTTAAAGGTTGTTATATCAATATTATAAATAGTAAATTATATTCATGTATTTGGTGTGACTAAATAATAAAATTTTTTCATTGTTATAATTCTTCTTTTCTTACCTATAATAAATTGGTATCAAGAATTCAATTTGATCTTAGAGTTGAGAGAAACACCTTGAGAGTTAAGTGAAATATCTTAATAGTTGAGTAAAATACTTTGAAAATTGAGAAATGACAAATAATGGTTTAAATATGTTTTAATTTTCACATCTTATTAGAGAAAATTATGATAATTGGTGTCGGCGCATGAAAGTTTTACTACAGTCTCAAGATACTTGAAAGATTGTAGATAAATGTTATGATAAGTCTCAAGATGAAGTTATTTTGTTACAAAATAAGAGAGATATTTTGATGAAGCAATAGAAGAAAGATCATCAGACACTTATTTTTATCCATAAGGCTTAGATGAAGCCATGTTTGAGGTATCCATCAAGACTTAAATGAAGTCATATTTGAGGTAGTGTTTAATGCAACCACCTCTAAAGAAGCTTGAGGGATTTTAAAACTAACCTCGAAGGGGTTGACAATGTCAAAAAGGTGCATTTATAAACTCTACAAGGGATTTGAATCTTTGCATATGAAGAAATCCAAGCCTATTTCATATTTTATTAATAGAGTAATAGTTGTTGCAAATTAAATGAAACAATATGTAGAAAATGTGAACAATGTTCGCATAGTAGAAAAATACTTCACTCCTTACCTTTATGTGAATGATCTTATCTTTATTGGCAGTAATCCGAATTTATTTGAAGATTTCAAAAGGTTATGTTGTATGAATTTGAGATAACATATATGAGACTTATGTCTTACTACTTGAGATTAGAAGTACAACAAATAAAGAATGATATTTTTGTCTCACAAGAGAGGTATGCAAAGAAAGTATTGAAAAAATTTAAGATGTTTGATTGCAACCTTGTGAGCACACCTATGAAAAGTGGCATAAAATTGTCAAAGTTTGATGATGGAGAAAATATAGCTTCCAGGTTCTTTAAGAATCTAATGGAAAGTTTGAAATACTTAACAAATATAAGACTTAATATTTTGTATGCAGTGAGTTGTGAGTCGTTTCATAAAAGCTTCCACCTCTACTTACCTAAAAACTACAAAGATAATTCTTTACTATTTAAAATATATAATTAATTTTGGATTATTTTATTCTCTTTGTATAGATTTCAAGCTTGTGAAATTTTGTAATAGTGATTTTGCGAGCGATATTAACAATCAAAAGAACTATTGGATTTGTGTTGTTCATTAGTGATTGTGCTTATTTTTTAATTCTAAAAAGTAACATATTGTTACATATTTTACTTGTGAGGTTGATTATGTCACTACAACCTCTTGCACATGTCATGTTGTTTGGTTTAGAAGATTGTTAAAGAAAATTTGCTTGAATTAGAAACATAATACTAAAATTCACATTTATAATAAATCCGCACAAGAGCTTGTCAAGAACCCAGTGTTCTATGAGCAAAGTAAGCAGATAGATATAAGATATCACCCCAACAGAGAATGCATTATTAAAAAAGAAATGGAGTTAATTTATGAGAAGACGAAAAGATCAAGTTGCATATATTTTTACCAAGGCACTCAAGTTTGAAGATTGAGAAAAAGACTTGGAGTGCAAAAATTTTTTAATTAAAGGATGATGTTAAGAATAATAATTAAAAAATAAAGTGTTACATGAGTTACAAAGATAAAAAGTTGTAAGTAAATATGTGTCGGAGTGAGTTAAAGACCATAATTTCTTAGATAAGAACAATGATTTTTTAATTTATAACTACTTGATATTTTCAAAACAATTATTATTCAATGTAAAATAAAAGTCATTATATCACTATTATAAACAATAAATTATACTCATATATTTGGTATAATAAAATAATAAAAATTTTCTATTATTATAATTCTTCTTGTCCTCCCTCTAACATTTTCATCATGGACCAATTTTTTCAGCACCAATATCTAGTAAAACTCTTATTGATTTTAGCTTGGCTGCATAGGCAAGTGCCAGTCTCCGTAAAATCAATTCCATTCTGTTGAGTGTAACATATGCCATAAATTGGCCTTCTGCGATTCTACCTTTTAATTGTTCCATCACCCTTATATTTTCTTTTGTATATTCATTTGTAACTGATTTTTTCTTTGCTGGGAGGTAAGGTAACCTTAGTCCATATTTTATTTGCTTTAAGTGTTGCCATTTCTTCCAGCATACTTATTTTTTTCACTCAAGAAATTTCATTGCTTAATGGTATAATAGGGGCTCGAAATTGATTGAACTTGGAAAAATGAATTGTACACAGGTGATTAATGTCCTATTATAAGTGAGGTGTCGATGAATTGGATAAACAAAGCTACATATATAGTGTCGTAGTTAAGTAAGTGATTTGTGATGCTGGAGTGATCTTGTGTAGGGTTCAAGTTGAACTTGGTTAGGTGATTGATTAGATATTTGGCGTGAGTTAGAGGAGTTTGTTTGAATTTTGTTGGAATGGATTGAATAATGACTTGGGTAT